CACTTTCTACTTGCACCTGGAGCTCTTCGCTGGGGAAGAAGACGAGAAGTCAGCTTTTCTTTGCAGCAGGTGGGTTGGGAATGGCACGGCACGCAGGGTATGCACAGAATGCAAAGAACTATCTCGATGCAAAACACAGGACACTCAAAGTTGTCTGCGAGGTTGGTTTTTTTTTTGCTTTACTCCTCCAGCCCTAAGGGCTTTATGGAGCAAACATTGTTTATACAATTGACGAATGGATCTTTCTAAGCCTCTGGTGAAGCGCCTGCATGCTGATGTCCTTGCATTAGGAGCACGGGGAATGGGTTTGCCGAGAAACCCCGTAACAGCGATTCCTTCAGACGTCACAGCATCCTCGCTCCCGTGGTTACTATCACAAAACAGTCACTTAGACCTGCACCGACTACACTGCTTCAAGAGCACCTTCCTATTTTTACCTCTCTGAGGACAAGGCTAGGAGCCAAGGAAAGCTGGCTAGGACATCTCAGTACAGTTTTCTTAGTGCTTCTGGAGGTGAAAGAGGCAAGCAGACCTCAGCAGGACAGGTACCAGCAGAAGGTCAGAGTCCAGCAGCTTCTGCAGACCCTGCTTACTCTGCCCAGGATCAGAAGTGGGTGTCCTCCACGGCTCTTCACCTCTCCGCCTCCCTCAAGCCCTCCATGTCACTCTGCTTAAACATCTTTTGTGCTCCTCAGCATCGGCTCTAGGTATTTGATGAAGCTAGGAAAAAAAAAAAAAAAAGATGCTTCCTCTGCTGCATCATTAAAACTAAGTGGTTTCAAACACCCAGATCTCAGAAGACTGTTTTTGAAGTGTCATGGTAGAGCCCTTCCATTCTTCAGAAGCAGTTTAGAGAAGTCCTGGGTGTTCTCAACCCTATCTCAGCCCTTGCAGGCAATTTTTTTTCCAAAGCCCTGGAGAAATACCATCTGGTTTGAGAATGTGCTGCCCTTTGACCTTCCCAAGCTGCTCCAGAGCCTCCATTTTCAGAGCCTTCCATTTTTACGACAGCTATTCCAACTTGCTTGAAACCAAATGTCCTGGGCAAGCATTTCCACATTGTCCTTTAAAGAGGAACCAGCACAAGAATTTCCTTTTATTTCTCTGCATCTCCAAAATTCCCTTACTCCCGGGTGGTCCTGGGAAGCCACACTCAAAAAATAAAGAAATTAACT